GAAAAATGCAACAATGAATGAATGGAAATCCAAAGTCTCTGTAAATTTTCATTGAAATTAATAATAAATTAAAAAAATTGTATAACTCTCCATACAAAAAAAAGGCAGAATAAAAATGAAAAACACAAGAGAAAAGGAGAATTCTTGACATTTTCTGTGGGGTCATGAACATATTTCGGTGTAGCACTTTCCATATTGTACTGTGACAGTATCAGAGTAGGCTTTGAACTCCTTGAGGTTAGTGTAGCCTCTGTATTACTGTCATTTTTGTAATGTGCTGTGAGCTTTTTACTTGATTGCAACATTGCACAGGAGGAGACTGCCCATCTTTGTCCTGCAGAGCAGATGGATTTGAACTGCCAGCCTGTAGGTTGGCAGTTCCGGGGGGTGGAGGGATATTTTTTTAAAAAGACTTTAAAGTTATATACTGAAACAATATTATTTCCCCCCCTCTACAACTAGGACTGTTGTTGTTGTGTGCCATCAAGTCGGAACCAACCCATACCTGACCCAGTAGCAGGTTTTCAGAGGCATTTAATCACACAGGAGGAGATTGCCCATCCATCTCTCATGGTAGATTTGAACAGTGTGCCTTTGGTATTGTGGTTCAGATTCTTACCTCTTAGCCATCAGATATTTCTCAATAGTTTCATTCCCAAGCATCTAAGATCAAGCAAATAGAATCTAATCTATCTCTCTCTTTTCTTGGGCAAAGGAGAGTGGGCTCCAAGGCTCGCCAGACTTCACTATACTGGATCAGTCAATGCCTGGAGCACCAAGGCTCCCTTTCCTTGGATCAAGGTAAGAAAATTATCAGTGAGGACAGATATGTCAATACTCATCACATTTCTTCCTTTTGCAAGCCCAAAGATACAGAGATAGATAGAGAGATAGATAGATAGATAGATAGATAGATAGATAGATAGATAGATAGATAGATAGATGATAGATAGAGCGGTGTACAGAATGTCATTTAACAGATGGGTAATCTAAAGAATGGAGTTTGTGATTTATACAAAACCAGTATGGAACAAAAGACTTGGAAATAGAATTGGTAATATTAAATTGTCTTGTTTCTTTGCTATTAATCTTTTTACTAGGATTAGGATATATGCATACTTTCTATGAGATCAAACTCACTATCTTCCAAGACTACCTAGGTGTCTAAATTCTCTTGTCCCTCATCACATGGGCAAAAATGTATTGTTTTTATTTTCTAAAACTCATTCAATCTTTCTCACACATTTCACATCACAGGGTAGTAAAGAAAACCTACTAAATTAGTATCAGCTGATAAAATACTTAAAACCTATCATTAAAAATATGTATGTCTTTAAGTGAACTAAAGTTTTAAAAAGAATTTGGTCTTACAGATTTTTTTCACTCCCGTATTTCCAAGAAAAATATGAGAACCATGACACCAAAGCACATGTATTTAAAGATTTACATTTTTCAATAAACACATTTTTAAAGAAACAGGTAAGACTTATTTTAATCATATATTTTAACTTCACCAATCAAAAAATAATATCATTTCATATGTAGGAAAGCAGGCTTTTGGACCCTTTCTTGAGCATATAGAAACATCTTTTTTTCCTTTCTGCTACATGAGAGTTGAGGCCAAGTTGGGAATGTCAAGACAATCTCTCTGCCTGATGTCAGGACAGGCTCCTTCTAAGCACTTCAGTCAAGAAACAGGAAGAAAATGGGTCTGTTTTTAGCTGTGCTCTCTACCTATCTAGTATGCTTCCTACCTCTGGCCTCACAGCTTGTAAAGAGGGACTTTGGTACACATTTTACTACCTACTTCCCTACTTCTCACATACTTTGGGCATGTTAGCAGGGGGCCCAGCCCCTGGATCATGCTCACAAAGGTAAAGAGTTCGTAAAGGAGACGAAGACCCTTAGCAGATGGTTTGACACAATGACTACAGTAATTGGCTTACGCACAGCGGAGATCATGAGGATGGAGCAAGATTGGACAGGGCATCGTTCTGTTGCTTGTAGAGTCACTATGAGTCATAGCTGACTCAACAGCACATAGCAACAACAACATAACAAACATATGACGCTAAAGATAGGGAAACAGAGGTCTTAGTCTAAACCAGGACAACTGCAGTGGGAGGAAAGAGGATACAATGTGTAGTTACAGAACTTCTAAATGGATAGGAAGGCAAGGAGATTTCAAGACAAAGTGAAATGTTTTAGACTAGGAGATAAAACAATGTTTCATAAGATAATCTCTAAGAAAATGAGTAAGCCCCACCAAAATATAGACAACTATAAAGACTTAGCAAACACCAAAACAATAAAAGTAAAGAAAATTTCAAGAAAAGCCTTAAAATTAACTCAGCACAGAAAAGCAGAGGGAACAAAGAAAATCAACAGCACCACAAAAATGAGTGCAGAAAAATGACAGCAATAAAACCATACCTATCACCCTTTTGGCCAGAACTAATCTCAAAGACAGCACAATAGAGAAATCAAGCTTTAACAGGTTTGAAGAGAGACAACTCCACGATAATAATAGGAGACTTCAGTACAGCACTTCCAATGAAGGGCAGATGACTAGGAAAAAATTAAACAAAGACTTAGAGCCTCACAGGTGGCCACTGAAGATTTGTAACCTGACACACTACATGGCATGCTGAATGAAACTAGAATTAGTGTCTTACAGAAGGGAGCTCTGGTGGCATAGTCCATAGGTAGTTATTCTGTTAGCCCAAAGGCATAGCCTTTCTGGCAGTTCAAAGCCACCAGCTGCTCCCTAGAAGGAAGATGAGCAATCTCTTCCCATGAAATTTACAACTTTGGAAACCCCACAGAGAGTTAGCCGTGAGTCAAAACTAACTCCACAGTAAGGACAGTGAGTTGAGTTCTACTACAACTGCTATGACTACGATTCCTCACAGCTGAACTTCCCTCGAGGCTTGGCATTTGGGTTAGCAGTGTAAATCCACATTACTACACCATCATAAAAACATTTCGTTTTTTTTATCATTGTGTGTGTGTGTGTGTGTGTGTGTGTGTGTGTGTGTGTGTCTGTGTGTGTCTGTGTACCGTCAGATCAGATCTGACTGGTACAGGAGATTGTCCCTCCTTTCCCGGCAGAGCATCTGGTGGATTCGAACCATGCGCCTCTGGGATTGCAGTGCAGCTTCTTGCCACTAGGCCACCAGAGCTCCCCTATAAAAACATTTCTTAAAAGAGCTAACCATTCTTGGCCACCTTGCCATTATTCACTCATTCATTCCAACAACTTGCTAAGCATCAGTGTTATCTTGTAGTTGGCAGGTACCTTATGAAATGCAGATCTGAACCTTTCCCTATCCTGCCATCCTCCCAAGGTCCATTAGGCTCAAGCCTATTGTTATAGTCACTGTGACAATCTGTCTCCTTTAGGAGCTTCCTATATTTCCCTGACCCTTCACCTTACCCAGGAGGATGTCTTATACCAAGGACTGGCCCGTCCTGAAAATATGACCAATGTATATGAAACAACATTTAACCATCCTTGCCTCTAAGGAGTACCCTAGCTGCCCCCCTCCAAGACAGATTTGTTTGTTCTTTGTGCAGTCCATGAGATATTTAGCCAACACCCAATTCAAAGGCATGAAATCTTCAGTCTTTCTTATTCAGGATCCAACTTTCAAATGAAACAATTGAAAATACCATTTGGCTTGGATCAAACACACGTTAGTCTTTAAATTTACATTCTTGCTCTATAAAGCACTTTGGAGAGTTCCTTAACATCAAATTTTCCCTATGTAACATATCTTTTAATTTCTCAACTGTTGCTACCCTGGGTGTTGATTGTGGACCCAAGTATAATGAAATCATTGACTACTTTACTCTTTCTTTCATTTATCATAATGTTGCCTATTAATCTTGGTTTCTTGATATTAAGGTGTAGTACATATTGAAGTCTGTAATCTTTGATCATCTGCAGTAAGTGCTTCAAGTCCTTCTCACTTTCAGCAAGCAAGGTTGTGTCATTTGCATAACACAGGTTATTGATAAGTCTTCCTCCAAACCTGATCCCACGTTTTTCTTCATAGAGTCCAGCTTCTCAGATAATTTGCTCAGCATACAGATTGAATTAGGTACAGAGAAAGAACATAACCTAGAAATACACCTTTCCTTACCATGCAGTGTTCACTTTTTCTGTTTGGACAACTGCTTCTTGGTTTATGTGTCAGTTTCTCATGAGCACAAGTAAGTGTTCTGAGATTCTCATTCTTCTCAATGTTAGCCACAATTCGTTATGATCCATACAATAAAACACAAGTAAATACCTTTCTGGCTTTCTCCAGAATTAAAAAATAAAAACGGAAGAATACACTCTGTATTTCTCAAGGTGAAAGAACTGAAGAACAAATTCAAGCACTTATATGTAATACTGAAGGATTCTATGAGCATAATCTTGAATGATGCAGGAAGCATCAAAAGAAAAGGGAAGGAATACAGAGTCACTGTACCGAAAAGAATTGGTCAAAGTAGTCTATGATCAAGAACCAATGGTGCTGAAGGAAGAAGATCAGTCAACACTGAAGGCATGGAAAAAACTAAGGCCCTAGGAATTGATAGAAAACCATTTGAAGTACTTCAAGAAACATATTCAGTCCTGGATGTGCACTAGACTATGCCAAGAAATTTGAAATACAGCTACCTGGCCAACTGACTGTAAGGGATCCATATTTATTCCCACCACAAGAAGATGATCCAATAGAATGTAGAAATTATTGAACAGTAAAATCAACACTCTTGGTACCAGCAGCCAGGAAGTCAAAAGACAAACTGCTTTGGGAAAATCTGTTGGGGACCTTTCCAGAGTACTGAAGAGCAATGATGTCTGTCTGGAGACTAAAGTGTACCTGATCCAAGTCATGGTCTTCACAATTACTTGCTATGCATTGGAAAGCTGGACAATGACTAAGGATGATAGAAGGAGAATTGATGCCTTTGAGTTGTGGTGCTGGAGAAGAGTATTGAATATACCATGGACTGCTAGGAGAACAAACAGGTTCATTGTAGAGAGGGTGAAATCAGGCTGCTCCTTGGAGGCAAGGATTCTAAAACTCTGTCCGACACACTTTGGGCTTGTTGCAAGGAGGGACCAGTCCTTGGAGAAAGACATCATGCTTGGGAAGGTGGAGGGACAGCACAGGAGAGGACGACACTGGATGAGATTGACTCAGTGACTGGGGTATTGGAGGTAAAGGTGTCAGAGACAATGAAATTGGCACGGGATAGATCAGGGTTCAGAGCTGTTGTGCATAGGGTCACTATGAGTGGCAAGTGACTGGATGGCATATAACAACAACAATTATTAATATCACATGCTAGCTAAATCTTGCTGAAGATTATCCAAAAGCATCTATAGCCATATATAGACAGAAAACTTTCAGAAATTCAAGATTTCAGCAAGTTGGATAAGCGGAGA